GTGCCAAGTCACCCATTGAGTAAGGAAAAAAAGCCTCGCAAGAAGCCCTCCCGTGGCGCAGCCCATAGACGTCCCTTCGCAGGCACCTTGAACCTTTGCTTCCCCTTACCAAACGAGTAATACCCTGAAGAAAGAGAGGCAGAGATGGAGAATGCGAGGAGGGGTGTGGAGAAGATGGGCCGAGTGGGAACTGGACAGTTGAGACGAACTCTGTTGAGGTCTCGTGTGCATGGGTTCCCTTACCTTCCGTACTTGGCTAGGTGTGGCTTGGTTCTCTAAGCCGAGGAAACGTATAACATCGTGACTTTACTTTCAGTGTAGGGAAGAACAGCAGATCAATGAAGCGGCAACACCGGCCTGGTGGTTTTGCTGAAGCCATGGAACTCATTTACTAAGACCCGTGATGAGCTGGGGCGTCATATCAGAGGGATCAAGAAAAGCGAGACGGAAAACCATAAGCCGCGGCAGAATCCAACGCAGCAGACGACACCCATATACGTTCGCCTGTGAAAGGCCACGAATAATTCTCCTTCAAGCGCCAAGCCGGGCCGCACAGATTGACTGTATCTAGGACGGGTTGCGAACTGAACAGTGTTTGGTGCCGGTCACAACTTTCCTCACAAAGTCGCGAGCTGCCAAAACACCAAACAATGACACGCCGGGATAGCGCTGTTAATCATACGTTTACATACTGCATCGATGCTCGGCGAACTGCAGAAGCTTCTCAAGGGAGCACACCAGCGTTCTCGTCTGTTGATAGTTAGTTGCTTGTTGTGCTGCGTAAGTGGTGCAAAGCTCCAGAGCTTGGTCCTAGTCGGGGAGAAATATGTCCTGGGCCGCGCGGGAGATTTCGCCTATTTGAAGGGATATAGAGAAACACTCAAGATGGAAACCTGCAAGTGAAACAACCATGCGATGCAGGAGCAACACCGCGGGAAGGGCGCTGGTTGGCAGCACAATCCGGATAGGTGCAGAACGAGACGCGAGAAGTCGCGGGAAGCTATATATGGCCGCCTGCTTCCCCCCTCGTCTCTCGGCCTAAAGTCTGTTTTACGTTTCAAAGAAGAAGATCGGAAATGCGGATGGACGTCGGCGGCCGGTGCGTGACATGGGACGACGTTATGCGTGTGCCGTTTGTCGTCGCGGCCGAAGCACGGACTCATCCCGGCAGCCAGTTTCGGGGGTGAGAGGGTCTCATGTGCGGGGGAGTCGGCGAGCTTCTTCTGCAGTTCTCGGCCCAAGCCGGTGCGTGCATGTTTACAGCCTGCGGCCCGATGACGTTTCCCCCTTCTCCGTCTTTGTCATTTGCCATGCAGTGCCCGCTTGACGCTGAGGCTATGTTGTATCGTCGACTGCAGCTCAATCAAAGGCGAAACATCTTCTCTGTGGGTTTTCAATGGTGCGGATCTATGCAAGAGATAGACACAGCCAGAAAGGGTCGAGACATGCAAAAACCCGACGCAGCTCCCGAAAGTCAAAAAGAAATGTGTATCTCAATAAAATATTAGATGCCAAGTTGAGAGGACCAGGGAGAGGCGAGTGCTTGTTCAATCAGGTTCAGGGGTTCAGCTTTCAGCGTCGTAGTTTCTTGATGTGAGGCTCATCAGACGAGAGTATACTGCTTGCGACGTAGCAAGACAGATCCGACGCGTCAGCATCGAAAAGCTCATGGGTAAAGAATAAGCAATGCTACCAGAAGAACTTGAAATAAGCTGGGACGGGGGCTGCCAGCCCAACTAGGCGTCCGTGTGAAACACACATTCGGGATCCGGGGGAGATGGGACGAAGAGAGGATTGACCTGAACGGACGGACACACAGGGGTTGCAAAGCACTGATGTTCAGGTGTCAAGAGCGAGGCGTCGGCCGTTTGGTTCGCGGGGTCTGGGTCGCGAGGTAAATTTGGAAGCAGACGGTCTAAAGAAGCAAACGGCGGCGTGAAGAGGCGCCGCTAGGCGTTCTGAGACCCGGAAGAGCCCACGGACACGGAGGCGAGGGAGGGCCAGGCAAGCTCCGGACGCCAACCACCATCAGCCAAGATGGGCTGAATCGGGAGGAGGCGAGCGACAGCGATTGCTGAGATAGCGGACGGCCCGACAGTCTTGGCCAAGTCCAGACCGGGATTCTGTTTGTCCTAGGTCACAAAGGGCAGAGGACGATAGTCCACGAGGCTGAACAGAGTGTAACGGATGGCGGAGATGAAATCGATAGACAAGGCGAGTGATGACCAAACGCGTTAGGTTGGTCAAGCCAGGCGGAGAGGCACGAGGGCCCAGCCTTTAGAGCGCAACGACCTTCAACTGCCGGGTTTTTGGGGCTGTCGACAAAGCTCAAAGAAATTGTATTGCTAGAGAGCCGCAAACGGTGGTATCGACGACTTGGTCCAGGTCAATAGTCACGAGTTTTCCAACGAGGAGGCAAAGTGGCCAGGAAGCATGGTGGTAATTAGGCGATCAGGCGCGTCAGTGCAGACGCAAAAGCAATGCGCCGGGTTTGGAAGGGCGACGGGCGGCGGCAGTCAAGTTTGCGGAGCGATTGAGATTCCGGCGTGCAGCTGACAATTGAACATTGCCAGGGTCCTGGGGCCGGACCCCCCGGTCTGCATAGTCCAGAACATGGCTTTGCCGCGGCGGCGGTGTTAGTGAAGGGTATCCGTACTCTGTACCGGAAGCTTGGATGGAACACTAATTCGTCTGTTGACGGTAGCACTCGGATTGGATTGTGTAGAGTTGGATAATGACCAGGCCATTCGGTAGATGCCGCCGCACAAGCATGAAGATGGGCGCAGGCATTGTGAAGCTGAAGCACACCGCAGTCCCTTCAGCATGCTTCAGACTTCAGACTTTGAGGGTTGAAGTGGGCACGGGGTGACAGGGTGAAGTGGCACAGTGGTAGTCGGGTCCAAGGGATTGAGAAGGAGCCCGGGCTTGGTGCTACCGGGGCTCTCATACCGATGCCGATGCAAATGCAAATGCAGATATGCGAGAGCGGATGCAATTCGAGCCCCTGATGCGGTCAAGAACTGACTTAGGAGGTGGCTCTTGTTGACTCGTTGTCTTTGATTCGGAGGTATGAAGTAGGAAAATCAAATCGACATAGGGGAGCCATAGAACTAAGAATAGGACTAGATGATGACGGGATGTGCAATGGTCTTTGCTGATCGTTCGTGACCTGAAACTAGCTGGGCCAATGTTGCAGCATTTCTTAGGCGACAAAATATGCGAGAGTAGGAAATATAGACGGAATATGGGGAGGCTGTTGATCGTGCGATACTCGTATCGATTGCATAGACCGTACGTAAGGTAGTCTGTATCCGTATCCTCGGAGGCTCAACGATAGATCTCAGGTATCAGGGATGCTTACCTAGTATACTTAGGGGCGAGCCGATACAGAGAAATAGTGCCAAAATGCGACTAATCAGCTTTGGAGGGTGTTTTAGTGTAGACCGGGGTCTCGTAAGGGATGAAGATACGGATAGACGACACTGGTAAAATATGAGTTGAGAGCAGCGGACACGATGTTGGCTGGGGTGACCCGTGTCGTGTTCCAACTTGTCCAGGAGCAAGGCGTGCGCGTCAGGTTCGGGGTCCGTTTGAACGGGCTGTGCCTAGTGCGGCGTACCGAAGTAATAAAGCGAGGATTCAATTCGGTGGGGCCAACGTTTGCATGTGCAGGCGAGCGGCAGGTAAATGCAAAAGGGTAGGGAGTTGAGGAACCTTGAGGCTGTTGGGCCCTGGGTTCTGGGTGGAGGGACTCTGGGAGACGGCGGGAGGATCAGGTTCACCTTTTCTTTGAGCCTTGGCTCTCGCGATTCTGGAAACTCTGGGTCTCTGTGGTCCGCGGAAACGAAATGGAAAGGAACGTGGGATCCTTACCTACTGGGAAGGAGGGATTCTGGAGGCTGACTAAGGCACATAAGATGGACAATCCATGCATAAACACTGGGAAAGAGTAGCCGTATAAACGACAGGCGTTCATAACTTTGACCACTTGAAGATACCTGCCCAGCTGAGACCAGCCCAGCGTCCGTGCTCTTTCCCTTTTTTTGCCTTCTTTCTTGTCTCTCTGCTCTTCGCTGCTGCCAAAAGCTGCAGCCACTCGGCACAGCGGGAAGACGAAGAGGAAGTACCTAGAAGTGAGGCAGGTACCTTTGGGAACGAAAACCCACGTGCTAAGGGAAACCACGTGCTGCAACAATCATTGAACTCAAGTGGTGGGAGGTACCTAGGTAATGAAAGTGCCTACCAAGGTTCCCATCACTCCCGTCGTTTGCATAAGGCGGGCAGCGAGAGAGGGAGCGAAGGGGAATGCGCTGAGGAATTTGGCCGAATTGAAGTAAACCCGAGGTGAATTAAATTGGATTACTTGCGGGAGGAACTTGAGACGTTTTCATCTCATTGCCATAACTCACTACCACCGACTCGCTGATTGGTAGACTTGCTTTGTGTTTTCTCAATTTAGGAATTCTTTTTCCCTGGGTATTTGTTTAGAGGGGAAACAAAAAGCCAGTCTCGCACTTGCACACAACGCCATTTGAAATCGTCTTCCGATTCATGCGCGCGCCCGCGCCTTAAATCGCTTTTTGATCGTCGCATGCCGTGTAGTAGATCCAATAGTCAGTGACGAGTGTGTGATCCAGCTCAGCTCGCATCGCATCGGTACGAACTACCTTGCTGCGTAAGTGTTGGACGTGCGGGCCTGTCGGCAGCAGCGCCGATGGAAATCAGGGACTAGAGGTGTAATGACGGAGCTTGGTGGTTTTTTTTTAATTGAGTTGTGGCTGTGACGGGATTGAGAGAGAGCTTGGCCCGTGGGAGAAAGCGCGCAAAGGGGGCGAAAGCGAATCACTACTTTGAAAAGGTGGTCGTCATCTCCAGCGGCCAAGGTCTGTCTGCCAACATTGGCAACTGACCGGCCCCCGGTGCAAGACGTGCGAAAAAGATGCGAGAATCGTGAGTGTCATGTTCAAGGCTAGCTAACGGCCAAAAAAGCAAGGTCCACAATGACAGTTGAATGGCGAACTTGTCTTGAACATTGTGACCAGGCGCTCCCGACCAAACCGATGGCCCCAGTTCCCCACCGCGAGATCATTTGCAGCTTTCTGTCTTGCCTTGGCGTCTTCTGTACCGAAAGACCGACCGACCGACCGACCGACAGCCCCGGTGTTGAACACGCGATGAGATGGAATGGGATGGGACGGGAAGACATGTGCAGCTGTACGAAGTGTGGAAGTGGTATTCAATCGTGTCCATCATGTCAATCGCTTCTGTCTCGTTGTCGTCACGTCGTCACACTCGGCTAGCTCACCTGCCACCAGGCCGCTACCTCATGGCCGACCTCCTAACCCCTGCTCGTGCACAACTTGCTTATGTCTACCGAGTATTAGTGTGGTGTATCAATGACGGATGGCTGGCGAGGGGAACATCTGGAGCTGAGTAAGATCAATACTATCAAGGCACCTACATGAAGGAGCTTGAGACAAAATGCAGTTTGGGCTGCACGACAGGGCAAACACTGCAAACCTTTAGCTTACATACTTGTCAAAACAACATGAGTAAACGACATGACCGCATTTGAGAATAACCGCTGTAATGAAAGCTGAGGTGAGTGAGCATCGAGACTGCAGGTACTTTAACCTAGAACCCTTTCGGGCCCGTCCCAGTCCCAGCGATTGCACCGCCCCCACCCCTGCTCTTGCGTTGACCCACACCCTCCTTGCTATTCGATGCATCCACAACCACGATCCCACGCCTGTCCAGTCCGGTCCCGCCCCGCCCGGTCCAGTCCCAAGGAGGCACTGGGAAGGCGCTGGAGGTTCTTTCTCTCTCTCTCTCTTGCCCGTCGTGCCCGTCTCCCGTCTTGTGGCAGGACCGACTGACGCTGCTGGCCAGTGCCTGCCTGCCTGCCTGTCCGGGTGAAGTCTGGTCTGCGCTCCGCACCTGCCACCCACAATGGAAGTTGGCAAGCGCAAGTTCGACATCTGGTCCCTGTCGCGCGCTGCTCACCACCGTCCACGCCGTGCTCCTCACGCTCGACCCGTCCAATACCACCCATGTCACCCGCCCAGTTCCAGTCCTGGTCCCTGTCACTGGTCATGGCCTCTCGGGTCCCCAGTCTTTCTCTCATCCTATTCTCTCTCGCTGGCTGGTGCTCTTTTCACTTTGCCGCCGCCGCCTGGGCTCTTTTGCTCTGCCACCACTGCTACCTTACCACCTTACTTCCCGCCTGCTTATTCGGCTCCTGCCAACCACGCCGAAAACACTCAAAGTCCAAGGCTGCTCCGCTGCTCGGCTTCGACCTGTCACCTCGCCTCTTCTTCTCCTCTTCCTTCCTATTCCTAACTATCCCATCAACCCCCTCACCTTTCCTACTACTTACTACAACCTACAGTGACCCGCCTCGTCCGCCAATCTCTCACGATCACGAACTGCCTCACGACCACGCCTAATCCCGACCGATCCTCACACAGATACACACCCACACGTCATCTTTGCACACAGCCAGAGAGGAGAATCCGCATCTCAACCTCCATAGCTCGCACCGCCATGGTCTCTTGCGATATCTAAAGGCCAACGCCCCCATTCCGGCCCTTCCACTTCGGCCCCAGTTTGATTGCTAGCACCAATCAATCGGCATTGGCTACCGTGCATTCCGCCTGCCAGTCGCTTGCTGCTTGTCATACGCCTCGCGCCTGCTGTTAGACCCATCCCATCTAAGGTGGTGCCAGCTCTTGCCAACGCATTGTCTCACCATCCAACAACCCCAATTACCCAAGTACATACTTGGTAGCTTCTGTCTCTCGTCCCAAGCGGGCTGGCAAATTCAGAGGGAATGGATTCGTATGTCTCTCATCCTTCAATAACCGGGCCATGCCTCTCGTGTTCTTTCTCTTGTCTCTGCCCGGTCAGCTCGAGAAAGTCGCGATCAGCACCGGCTTGCACTTTGCACTCAGCGCCGTCAAATGGCTGTAACTAATCTTGTGTGGCACAGCTTTATCGCCGTCGCTGGCTGGGCACAACATACCAGCCCTCAACCCGGTGGAAGACCTTTTGGCCATTTTCGATCTCTTTCTTCAATAGCTCGATCTCCGTCACCAAGCCCACGAGCCACGAAAACGACGAGTCAAGCACCTTCCGTTGTCGACATGCCCATCATGTCTTCCTCAGTAGCATCCTCGCCGACACTTCGACCCACGACAACAGTGACACCTCCAGACGATGACGGCGAGCTGAGTACACTACCTGACCCCCGCAGCCGGGCTATGAGTCCCGCTAGTGAAGCCGATGCTGCTCAGCATCCCGAGCTGAATGATGAAGTCGCAACCCTGAGCGCCAAGTTAATAAACGCCATCAACCACCAGACAACCCTCGACGACACATTATCCGCCACAAGACAAGAGTTGGAAAGAGCACGCGAGAAAATCAAACATTTAGAAGAACAGAACGAATCTCAAAGAGAGATGCTTGCGGGCGATATTTGGATTCGTCGCAAGACCGCAGAGGAAGAAAAGAAGACCATCATGCTCCGTGTGAACCAAGAGAAGAAACTCCGAGAGGATGCTGAGAAGGAGCAAAAGAGGATTGAACAAGAGTTGGAGAGTCTTTCCACGGCTTTATTCGAGGAGGCCAACAACATGGTCATTACTGCGAAAGAGGAGGCGAGGGTGGAGCAGGAGGCCATCCAACGAAAGAACGACAATCTGAGATCTCAGCTTGGCGATATGGAGGCCTTGCTGACCTCTCAACAACAGCAACTAGCAGACCTAAAGCACGTCATGGAGCAGATGATGCTCGAAAGAGATGATACTACAACCGGCACAGCTCCTTCCTCTCCCGGCTTTAGTAAACCCGATATCACGAAAGATGATGATCGCTCAGAAGGCCTCGTCGCTTCGCCTCTCTTGGATCCGTCTTCGCCGACGTACCCTACTAGCTTGACGCATCTCATTCAGCCAGTTCTTAGGACTGATCTAGGAGCTTACGAGGACTTTCTTAGCCTTACAAAGCTGTCCAGGAATCGCGCTGGTAGCCGTGTTTCGTCTGGCTCATATAACGGTCTGAGTGGGTTGGGTCTCGGCATGGGCGGCAGCACCTCAAGCGCTCACCCTTCCAATGCATCAACTGCTTCCCTATCCACGGCTGGGACTCCGGCTACGTCATCGCCGCAGACCCCGAATACCCCAGCTTCTGTCTCAAGCACGGCCTCAGCCAACGTGGGCCCGCCCCCGCCGGCTCTCAAGGAAACCAAGTTTTTCAAGCGTGTCCTGGCAGAGGATGTTGAGCCGACACTCCGACTGGACATCGCCCCGGGCCTGTCCTGGCTTGCGCGTCGCAGCGTTTTGAATGCCATGAGCGATGGCTCAATCGTGGTGGAGCCAATTCCTGCCAATGCGCCCTTTGCCTCAATTGTCAAGCCGCAGTTCTACCCCTGTTCCCTGTGTGGCGACGCACGGAAGGATGAAGAGCACCTGCGAACATACCGTTTCCGAACCAGCGAGTCTGAATCAGCTCAGAGATACCCTCTTTGCAAATATTGCTTAGGTCGTGTGAGATCAACGTGCGATTTCCTCAACTTCTTGCGTATCGTAAAAGACGGGCACTGGCGAGCGGAGGACGAAGACGCAGAGAAGGCTGCCTGGGAGGAAAGCGTTCGCCTGCGGGAACAGATGTTTTGGTCCCGAATCGGTGGTGGCGTCGTCCCGGCCAGTCATCATCACTCACTACCCCTGGAGAAGAGCCCTCGGACTAGCCATGATAGCGAGTCTAGAGACAGTGGACCAGAGGTGGCAGTGACGCCTTCGGAGAACATCAATGATGACGCTACTCCCTTTGCCACTCCCCTCGAGGAGACGGCCAGCCAGCTGGATGACGAGGAGTCATTAGCAAGACCAGAGACGCCTTGCCCGAGTAATCGAAACTCAACACTGTCGTCTTCGCCAGAGACGGGCTCTATTGCAGAGAAGGACGGCGAGAAACGACTGTCTATCAATATTCCCATCCAAGAGGAGCAGCAAATTATCGTTGCGACGAACGAGGAAAAGGTCGAAGCCACAGCATAATCATGAGCGACTTATCGTAACGATCGATCCCCGATTTCTGATACGCACCACATACACTTAATCTTCGATACTGTATTAATTACACCCTACGCCACCATTGCAGAAATGCCGGGGCTCATAATGAAGACCAAACGGGAGAACAACATGGGGGAAGTCAAGGAAGAGGCAGAGCGAATTCACGGAAACGTGATAATAGGATGGACAGAGGGTGCAAAATTCACCTATTTCTTTTTTTCCTTTTTTTCAATCGTTCTGGGCATCCATTTAGGAAGGGGGCATTGGCGTTTTGGAGAGCAAAAACTGTGTCCCATTCCGAAAAAAGGGAGGACAAGCAAACAGTTGCCGTCATGGGAGCAGGAGAAGAAGGCTGGATCAAAGCAGGCAAAGTTGCTAGACAAACAACAGGAACAAAGGGGGATGGGAGGGGGGATCACAGATACAAGGTTACTGCATCGTAATGCCTTCTTATTAATGCCAAAGATGATGATGCCTCGAGCATTGGATGAACCTTCAAAACCTGTCTATTTGCATTGCAACTTGAACTGTGAGAGAGCCTTTTTCATTCCTATGGTGAAAGGTATAACGACTACCGTTGGATAAGACGCATCTTATTCCAACTCAGTTTCCAGTGGCTATGACCGACATAGGCTCCATCGTCGAGATACAAGAGACACATTCAGGTTCCGGGTGAGTATCTTTGGTAAGTCACCTAGGAGCAGCATTTATTGGACATGTCATTTCTTTTTGGAATCTTACATTAACAAATGGAAAAAAAAAAAAAACAAAGCTTCGGCGTTTTGTGGCCGACCCCCATTTCCACCATCCCGTCTTGTCCGCTCCCATTCACGGCTGGTATACAACGGGGCGAATTGCGACGCAGAAAGCGAGAAAATCCGTGAGATCAAAAGATGAATTTGATCAAACTTTCCCCTCTCATCAGGCCATTACAGTCCAGCCCCAGATTTTTTTATCACCTTCTTTTTTTTTTTCAAGTTTAGAGTTCAGAGCTCCTCCTGAGCAGTAGCCTCCTTGCCGCCATCACTTGCGGGCTTGGCCTTCTTTTGCTCGGCCTCCCTCTGGCCCTGGACGCTCTCGGCGACCTTGGGCGCCGCGGCTGAGTCGTCGGCCTTGGATTTGGTCTCTTGGTCGACGCCCTGAACGTCAGGGTGAGGAGGAGCGACGTTCTGCTCTTGGGGCAAACCGCCCTCGGGCATCTGCACCTCGTTTCCACTTGCGTCAACGACGCGTGTTCGTGTCTCGTACTTCGTCTTGAACTCGACCTTGCCCTCCAACGCCTTCACCTGCGCCTCGTCGAGGAGGTTGCCGTCCTGGTCCCGGTACTCAACCTTCTCTTCGCGGGACAGAACCTTCTGTCCAGGGGCTCCCGAGACGGCCGGCTCAGCCTGCTCCTTCTGAGCCTCGCCAATGGGAATCTGACCGACTTGACCACCTACAGGGGCGGCGGGAGCCTCGGATTTGATAGGCGTCGGCGTGGCTCCAACAGCGGCGGAAGTGCGAGTGAGGAGCTCAGTGTATTGAGAGTACTGTAATGCCAGAAAGTGATGTTAGCCTCATTCCATCAGATTCACAAGCCCTACCAAAGATGCTTTGACAAATCTCGTTTCAATTGGCTATCAACCGTTTCTCAACATCGATCCCGCCTGAGCCAAGATTTGTCTCATCTCATCACTGGCTCTTACAACCCCCTATCCGGTACCCCTCTACTCGGAATGAAAGCAGTAGTGTTACTTACGTCGTCAAAGAAGTTGTTGCAGTCGAAATCCCATGTGCCAACAACCTTGAGCCGGCTGCACTCAGACTTGGTCCAGGCGTTACCATAAGCCAAAGGAGAGAAGAGCACGAAAGCGACGATCGTGAGCGCCAAGAAGGCAACAGCGCTGACGCGGTTGATGGCAGGGTTCTTGCGGATACCAGCGAGCGAGACTCGAGCGGTGGCGAAGTCGAAGATGGAGCAGAATGCCATGACTGCGAAGTAGAGGGCGGGGAAGTAGTGGTGAAGGAACAGCTGACGGTCCATGAGGTAGAACGGGAAGTAGTGGAAAGCCCAACCCAGAACCGCAGTGCCGATCTCGTAGTCGAATCGCTTGAACGTGGTGTTGGAGTAGTCGTTGCAGCTGCGCTGCCAGCGGAGAGTCGCGATGCCCTTGAAGAGAACGTAGATAACGACAGCAAGGGTAGAGCTCCACCACACGATGGGGTTGCCCATCAGGTAGATCTGGCGGTGATCCTTGCCCCAGAAGTTGATACCGCGCTTGAGGAAGGGCCACGAGTCAGGACGCGAGTCCCAGGCGTGAGACTCGACCAAGCCGGCGTTGGTCTTCCACATGACCTTTTGAAGCTCCCAGAACTTGCCAAAGAAGCCAGGGTGACGGTAGTTGACCTTCTCGACATTGTCGCCGGTGAGTTGCGGGTGCTCGTTGTACTCGACATACCACAAGCTATTGGGAAGGGTACCTCCCTTTGCGCAAGTGACCTCCTGTTGCTCAGAGGCCCACTCAGGGAGCTTGACCTTGTGGGAGAAGAGTACACAGCCAGTCATGATGTGAACCAATCTGAACTTGGTCTCGATAGTGCGAAGACGCTCCTTGGAAGCGGCGCTGAGGGACTGCTTTTTGATAATCTCAATCTTGAACAAGTCGTTGGCGTCGCCCTCGAAGCCCTCGTAGCCGTAAGCGGACACCTCGTTCTGCCAATCAGCCTCCGTCACAGGGGGTCTGACGTCGTGGGAGTGAAGACGACGGAATGTGGGAGTGTGGTAAAGGCGAACGACATCGCCATCCTTGATAAAGACAGGCTCGGGGAGGTTGTCCCAGGCTTGAGTTCCGTTGATCTGCTCGCCGTTGATTCCAAGAGGCTGGGTCTGGTTCTCGAGGAGCCAAAGGTTATTCTCATCCTTGTGGGGGTAGAGAGTGATCTGCTGCTGCTTGCTACCGGTGGGGTACATGAGGGGATGGGAGTGCAGGTAGCCGCCCTGTGTGTTGGCGTGTCTGATGCTGACACGGCTACCGAAAGCGACGTCGGCGGCCACATCTTGCATGCCCTTGGAGTTAAGAGTAGACTGGAACTCTGAGCTCATGAAGCCGTCGCCGTCACCAGGGTTGACCAGGCAAAGGAAGTGAATGGCAAACATGGCCATGTAGAAGCCGACGGGGATGATCACGAGGGCGAAGGCGCGAGCCATGAAGTGCTTGGCCCAGATGCGCGGCGTAACGTTCTTGGTGTCTCCAAGGAGAACCCAAAGCTGGACGAGGGTCAAGCTTCCAACCCAAGCAATGGTGAATAGACCAACCCATTTGATGCTGACGGTGGTACCCAGACCCAGGCCAGTCATCAGGAGCCAGAACCACCAGCTCAACTGGAAAGCTTTCTCGGGTCCCTGCTCATGCTGGTTCGTGAAGGACTGGAAGGAGAGGGCGGTAAAGGCGGTTGCTACCATGAGAGGAGAGTCGAGGAGAATGAGACGAGCTTGGGTAAGAAGGCCGTTCTCTGGAAGGAGTGTCGGTCAGTGATTCGTATGTGCGTGAGGAGGCACTTTGCACTTACCGAAGATGATCAGACTGGAGCCCATCAGAGCCGTAGTGGTGCGGCATCCGGTGGTCTTGAGAGTCAGAAACATGAGAGGGGCGAGCAGGATACCGCAAATGGCCGGGAACATGCGCATGGCGACGTAGGGAACGCCGGGCTCAAGGTAGTCCTTGCCAATGTCCTTGAAGTCGAAGTCGCCGTTGAAACCAGCCAACCAACCGGTGAGAGCGATGAGCATCTTGGCCAGAGGAGGGTGGACATCCATGAAGAATTTGCCCTTGATATATTTCGAAGCGAAGCCACCGAAACTGTAGAGCGAAGGCGTCAGCGACAATGCGGGCGGAAAGGGAGGCAAGGGGGTATGTGTGTGCTTACTGGACCTCGTCAAAGACGACACTGGTGGGCTGGTAGATACGGAACAGGCGAACGATGGCGGCGAGGATGGTCAAGCCAAACATGATCTGGTAGTCGGAAACAGGCAGGAGGAAGACATCGTTGTCCTCAACACCGTCGGACTTGTAGCTCGACTCGCGCTTGACGGGGAGTTTGCTATGGCCATTGCCGTTGCCATTGATGCCGTTGACACCGTTGGCCTGCTTCTCGAGCTTGGGGCTCGGAGAGCGGATTGGCTTGGTGGCAGCCATGTTCGCAGAGAAGGAGTATCGATTCGTGGGGGGAGGGTCGGACTATTCGGGGCGGGCGCAAATGTCGTCCACTCAACGTCGACGGCAGCTACGACTTGGTAGCGGGCGACGTAGACGACGAAGGCGGAGAGCGGTCGTCAGCACCTAGCAAGGTGAGAATGGTAGGCGAGGTTTTCTCGCGTCGATCGAGTGGCAGGGAAGTGGGAAAAGGGATCAACGAAAGTCGAGAAGGGAAGAGGTGGATTAAAAGGCCGTCATTTAGCAAAGGTGAATGACGGGCTCAGTAGAAGAATGCCCTCAATGGAACAAGAAGAAAAAAAAAGGAGGATGCTTTTTCTTCCTGGTTGGAGTAAGGTAGATGGAAGAAAAAGGGAGCAGGGGCAGGTATCCGTAGAGAAACGAAGTAACTGTTAAGGTAGAATCTGGGTTCACTGCCTGGCGGAAAGTTTAGACCGCGGAAGCTGATGACAGCTGGGGGGAGGCCAGGCTGGAAGGGAGGATAAGGGGGTCAGGGTCGGAGTTGTAGCTTAAGTGGCCTCATCCCATGTGGTTTGACAGCCAGCAATTGGTTGAAGCTAGGGCCTGCCTGGGACCTTCCTGGCTCCATCCAGTGATCCCCCTCCCCCCTTGAGTCCATCCACGCCCCCCTTCCCACGATTCCCTACGGCTGGGTCGACCCCTTAGACAGTAGACAGTACGGGCACTCAGTACGGAGTAGACGTGCGGACAAGCAAGGCAGACGCTTCTCTCTCGGTCGCTCACTACCTCCATTACACTACCATCTCACTTATAAAAGGAATAGAATCATGTCAGTGGTCAAAGTAGTCCGTGAGGTACATCGATATGCTGCTCGAATTGACAGTGAACGTGATCCCTAAAAAGCTCGGGTAAGGGGGGGACCCGTGGACGCGTATATTTGGACCACCTTACACCCCACCGATGCGCCGGGGGTTACCTTTGGAAGTTTGCCAATCTGAGGTAAGAAGCACTTTACGCGCTTCACGGTGGTACCGATTGATTGTCAATCAGCATGTGAGGTGGTAGCAAAGCCCTGGACCCCAACTACTCATACCTACACCGTAAGGTATTGTCTCGATGTTCCTCCCACATAACCGTCAGAGCGCAATACTCTCCATTGATCTTGTCCTCGATCTAACGTACAAGAAGACATGGTTGTTGTTGGACAAGTGTCCTTAACACGAGAGAGCTATCCATAAACGTACCTTGGAGATAAAATAAATTTTAGCCCGTCCAATGTCTTGGAGTACCTGCTTTGGAGCTGCGTTATCTTAGCTCCGGCCGCGTACCCGTGCTCCTCTAGCGCCAAATGTAGACGGCGGGAGACGTGCTGTGGCTGCCCATTGTTCTTTCTGCGACCGGCCTCAAATACCTAAGGTACCTATCCCAACTAGGTACTGACAGAGTTCAGCTTTTCATCCGCCTAGGCGTAGACGCACTGGCGCGATGCACCCCATCCATGCTCTCCATGTCCACTATTGATGGACGCTGGCCTGTGCACCGGTACAATGCGGCTGAAAAAGAGACGGCGTACGTAAGGCAACTCTACCTCACACAACTTCACCTAGGCCTATCCTTCTCAACTGCACCAAATGGCCCCACAATCTATTTCCATTGCAGCAGTGTTACGCACCGCATATGGAGGTTTCGACATCGATTTTAGCCCCCATATGCAGAACGCGATGAAAACATCGCCATGGCCACCAACTAGCCTTTCTGCCTCTGGTGAATAACTGGCCATCCTCGAGACATCATAAAGCCACCTTGCTCGAGCCTCAAAGGGCTGGAGAGCGAGTGGCACGGGTTGAGTGGCTGTTCAATGCCTCGCCAAGGTATGTGAGCAGGTGGAATTTGGGATATCGGAATGCAGCTTCAACGGCATCCCTTCATTCTTAGACATATGCCTCTGATGACAATCCCTTGCTTCCCGCTTTGAGACAACTCCTAGAAGCAGAAATCATGATTGGCTCAGAACCTACTCAAGACCATCGATTTTGGTTCCTGCAAAATATGTCAACCAAACTCTTGAAAGGCCGGGGATTCGGAAGAAGTGGTTAACGCACTGCCGTGGTGTAAGTGAGAGAAGCTTGACGGCACTCCGAGGACCAACAGACTTACCTACTTTCTTCCACATCGATAAGAAGAGTCTAGACCAAAAGATATCATTATCCATCATTCATTGGAAGAAAGATGCAAAAGCTCAGCCCCCCTCACGGGGAGCCTACGAAAATCACTAGATCATTGTTACGTACTGTTCCTCAGTTGTAACCTATAACGATACTAGCAATTTTTCACGAGACTCGAACTCGTGACCCATGGGAGCGGGGCAATTCAAACGAGGACATTCCCCGCCACGCCATGGGCCTTGGTGATGATAATGAGCAAAATTGTTCACTATGAAGGTAAGATAGGTGTCATGGAGAACCACCTGCCACCTGAGGTTGTTCACAGGACCCAAGATGGCCAAATGCGACGAATATGCAGGTGGAAACCAGTATGGCCCGTGCACCGCGTCCTCCCAAAAATCGGCTGACTAAGATACTTGCCAGCCGGTTCGGCGTCGAGGTTGCCTGGGAACCTCCGAAAAAAGTTAAGGAACGCGGCTGGTGAGCTTTGCCTTCGTTTCGACTTCCACCCAACGCGCCGCCTCCTGACAACATCATTCCGAACTGCGAGCGCCCTCCCCACACAACATGGCCTCGACTGCGACCAACGGCGACGCCGCCGCCGTGTTGGACGAACTCAAGCCTCCTACCGGTGTTGTTCTGCCGCCTCGCGAGATTCGTAATGTTCTCGAAAAGACGGCAGGTTACGTTGCGCGAAACGGTCTCATCTTTGAGGATAGAATTCGCGAAAAGGAGCGCTCCAACCCCAAATTCAGTTTCCTTAACAATACCGACGCATACCATGCATTCTATCAGTGGCGCCTTGATGAGATCAAGGCCGGCCGCGGCACCGCCATCGCAGCAGGACGCGCCAACGAAGCAGCAGCACCCGTCGAGCAGAAGCCCCAAGGCCCGCCCAAGCCTCCTGATTTCCAGTTCTCGGCCCGCATGCCGCGCATCAATCAGAAGGATCTCGAGGTCATCCGATTGACCGCCCTATTTGTCGCGAAGAATGGTCGCCAGTTTATGACCCAGCTTGCCCAACGCGAGGCCGGAAACCCCCAGTTCCAATTCCTCATTCCGAACCACACGTTCCACAACTTTTTCCAACATCAGGTCGACCAGTACACAGCGTTATTGAGAGCCAGCGGCTTGGGTGGCGAAGGCGGCAAGATTGAGCAAGAGAGGATCAACCATATCAAGCAAAACATCGACGACAAGTACCATGTTCTGAGCCGCGCGAAGCAACGTGCCGAGTACTCAAAGTTCCAGGAAGTTGAGAAGGTAAAGAAAGAGGAGGAAGATGAGAAGAAGAAGCTTGAGTTTGCCCGGATCGACTGGAACGACTTTGTGGTTGTCGAGACTATTGTCTTCACAGATGCCGACGAGTCCGCGAACCTGCCGCCTCCGACGAATCTTTCCGAACTGCAATACGCTTCCCTTGAGGAGAGGAACAAGGCATCATTAACCAATCTTCGCATTGAGGAGGCCATGCCCGATGAGGAAACCTCGTACAACGCCTACCCCCAGACCTCTCAGACGTTACCAGTTCACACTGGCTATGCGCCTCAGCAGCAGCAGCAGCAGCAGCAATTCCAGGCGCAAGCACCAGTAGGCTTCCAAGGATATCCAGACGACACACCGCGACGATCAGCAGAAGAGGAGGAGGAAGAGCGGAGGATCCAGGAGAGGACAGAGGCACGTGCCCGAGAACAACAGGCACGCGCAGAAGCTCGTGGCGGAACTGCTCCGATGAAGATTAAAGAGAACTACGTGCCCCGCGCACTCCAACGAGCGGCCAACAAACAGAGTGTCCAGATGGCGCTATGCCCGAACTGCAAGCAGCAAATTCCCATGGATGAGCTGCAGGATCATATGAGGAGTAAGCCTGACAGCTGCCTTGCAGAATGAAAGTTGAATATTGCTAACAGTTTCTGTAGTTGAACTGCTGGACCCTCAATGGAAGGACCAAAAGGCAAAGGCAGAAGCTAGATACTCCACGACCAACTTGTCCACGGCGGATGTCGCAAACAACTTGAAGCGACTTGCCAGTCAGAGAAGCGACGTCTTTGACGGCGTCACCGGCCAACCCCTGTCGGAAGAAGAGGCTGCTCGGCGCAAAAAGGCCACGATTCATAGTTTCGATGGTAATCCTGATGGCAAGAGCCAGGCTCACATCAACCACCTGCACAACCTGAATGTCGAGGAGCAGATCCGTGCTATTCACCAGAGATTTGCGGACAAGAAGTGAGCGGGTAGGGGCCAACGATGGCTGGATCGATCGGGCAAGACGCACGTCTCAGATGCCGAAGTCTGAGGTCCTGAGCATTTCGGACATGAAATGACGGCGTGAACTCCTTCGGCTGGAGGAGGTTACTGAAGCTGAAGCTGTCAGAACCAGGCTTCGGGAACGTGGTGAATTCAGTGTACAAACACGAATAGAGGATTGGCTTGGAGGTGAGAACTCGGCGTTTACTGGTTGCTTATTTTCAGAGGACTCATGTCGCCCCAGCATCATCCTACCCATTTACCACCGGTCTGTGGCGTCTGCTGCGGCGAGCAGTGTGATCCCGACGCCGGAAGACTGGAATGGTCGAGGCCCACTGGCCACGAGACGTGAGCAGGGTGCCTTAGCAGTGGTCCAACATACACACTGCACCTGCTGGTGGTCAATGAATGTATTTGTATGCTAGCATCGAGGAGTGGACGAATATGGCACACGAGGCTAAGATACAATGAGGGCGATCTGCAGAAAGAAAGGTAGTTCCGAAAAGTTGGGGTTCTGCTGAATGGGGTAAAAGATATCTATTTTAGCAACGCGAATCCAACCTTAATTCCAACAGCAGCTTGAGATTTGGTTGGAACCCAGGGAGTCAGTCCTGTGAAACTTATAAAATGCGAGGAAAGAAAGGAAGACCATTGAGCCAGTCCAGTTTTACTTTCCTTGCTACACACCCAGACCCGTTCAATCAAAGTGAAAGTGGTGTATAACTGAGTAGTTACCCTTACTTGCTGTGCACTTGGGAACTCCAGAAATACCTCCCGGTCCACAAGGCACCCCCACCTGCTCAATTGGGCAGCGCTACCCCGTACCGCTGTCCGTACCGCTCACAGTTACGAGGAAGTGCCCCCCACCTCGTACCCTCAGAAGGCGCATCGGCTCAGCCTCTTCCTCCCAATAATCAAGCAAACCGGTCTATTGCGGCAGCGGCCGGGACTGGCATTCGTCATATCGCTCCCCCGCAATTCCACCAGCTACAGTAAGGTGACAGGCACCCAAAGACCAAGGTAAACCACGCCGCACACTGCTTGATTGCTGCCACCCATTTTTGTCGTAATCGGCCGCACTTCGCACCCGCCTTGATTCCCCCACCTCCCTCCCACCTCGACATTTTTTCCCACAACGAACAACACAACTTCACCTCACATCGCCTCGCCTCGGAACAAAGGTCCCAGTCACACGACAAGTCTCACCGGTTCGTAGCAGACAATAGCTACAGGAAAGAGAAGGAGCAGGGTATCCCGGAACAGCAGTCAGCACAGAAGAGAGCAGCCGTTTCCACCGAACCCGATATCGCGCTTGCGCATACCGTACCTCGACGACAGTCTCCACGCCCTCTCCCCCGCCCATCCCTCGCGCGAAAGAACGTGAGAAACAAACAGCCGCCTCGCCGACCGCAACTCCCCTCTTCCCACCGAGGACAAAGCCGCCAAAACGGATTCCGGAAGCCAGAACGCCGCTCGCGCTCCCAGCGCTGAGCCCACTTCTCCCACCTCCCCGACCGGATCACAGGCCTCGCCGCGCTTTCACCGGCCCATCATGCAGGCAATGCCGGATAACCGACAACAGTCTTTTGACGAAATCTACGGCCCGCCGGAGAACTTTCTCGAGATCGAGGTGAGAAACGTCCAGCAAGCTTTCCACAGCTGCAGCGCAACCCCCGGTCCTCTCTAGCCTGTCACGATAATGCCTCTCCAATGCTCTCTATTCACCCTTCCCACAGCTCCCCTGCCCGGCCATTGTCGCATGCGCCCAAAAGCAAGGGATCTAGTTCGCACAATCTAACAAACATCCTTTCCCCTCCAGGTCCGCAACCCCAGAACCCACGGCATGGGCCGCAGCATGTACACCGACTACGAGATTGTCTGCCGCACCAACATCCCCGCCTTCAAGCTCCGCGCCTCGAGCGTGCGCCGCCGCTACTCCGACTTTGAGTATTTCCGCGACATCCTCGAGCGCGAGAGCGCCCGCGTCACCATCCCGCCTTTGCCCGGCAAGGTGTTTACGAACCGCTTCAGCGACGACGTCATCGAGGGCCGCCGCGCCGGCCTCGAAAAGTTCTTGCGCATCGTCGTCGGACACCCGCTTCTGCAGACGGGCAGCAAGGTCTTGGCCGCTTTTGTTCAAGGTAAGGGCTGGCTTTCTGGCTTGTGATTGTCTGCGCACAGTCTTTGGTGATGCTGCGCTTGGCTATCGGGGTGGATTGCAACGATATCGAGGCGTAGAAGGCATGAACTGACGTGATTTTGGGACAGATCCCAACTGGGACCGCAACGCGTGGTGACTGAAGCTCCGCGTCAGCTTCTCCTCGTCTGTTTCGCGATCACCGAATAAACTGCGCAAGAGGCCGCCCAAGCACCATCGCACCGACACGCAGCTCGAAGAAGGGCTGACTGCGAAGAGCTCCATCTCTTATGAATGAGCCCCTTTGAACGCCTGGGTTATTGTTTGGAACCTGGGACGTGGGTGGAGCCTGGGATGCGTGTGGATTGGACAAAAATTGAAGGGTGGTATAAAAGCAAATGGGGGGTTCAGTCAATGTCTACGGCCATTGGTGTGCGAGTTTTCTCTTTCTTCTTTTTCTAGTTTCTTCCTTATCGTAGTGTTTATTGCTTGTTGATGTTCAGCTTTATCCCATCAAAAACAGCTTTCGTCCCCCCCCCCCCCCCCAAAAGAAGCTTGGGTTCTTCACTACACCCTTTTTTTTCTTTGCACCGAGCACGAAATCCCGCCGAGGCGGACAGCATCAGCGTTGCTTATCTCCTCGATATGGGAAGAGGAAGAGGAAGTGGAAGTGGAAGTGGGGGGGGAGGGGGGAGGAGGAGGAGGAGGGAGAGGCTGGGCTGGGCGTTATCAAGCAAAAAAAAATGAAGAAAAATTTGAGAATCATGACTGTTGACAAAACGACCCATACCCAGTAACGGATTATACATGTATGACCGGGTGTAGTGCAGAGACTGTTGTTGCCTGGTGATCCCATTTCCGTGGAGGAAGAGGATTGCAAGTAACTCAGTTCTTGCTTTCTTCTGAAGGTTAATTTTCTGTTCCTTCTATAGGGTACCTGACAGTGGGAGGAGTCTTGTTTCCTTTTTTTACATTTTTCGAGATTGAAATGTTGGAAAGCAACGAGCTCTAGGGTACATGGCGTTGAAATTTGCATTGGTGAAGGAAGGAAGGAACCCTCTAGCATCGAATTAAGCGAGCTTCAAGAACTGAGAAGGGAGTTCAGACATCAGACCTGGGTCTTTGTCTTGGAAGAGGCTGTGAAGAAAAAAGGCAGGTGGAATCCCTCCTCGCCAGACAAACTCCCACTCATCAAATTCAATGGTCTATTGCAATGTCTCGACTGCACGTACTACAATGTGAATCGCTGCAGAGCACGTTATCGTAACTGGACTGCTTGACGGGTTGAAATTGCTCCTTTTTTCTCCTTTTTTTACATTATGATACACAGATGTTTACCGTCTGCCATCTAGTGAAGATGAAACCTCATGGGCTCTTTTTCTTTAAAACTGGTTTTATACAATAGAGGGAGTTTCCCCTTTATTCCCCCCAAAACGCCTTCTTATGCCCCTCGTTCTCCCCCTAGAAGAATAGTGTTAACCAGTGAGGTGAATCATGCGGGGGCTCAAATCACGCTTCTCGTGAAAGAGCTGCCTCCACCCCTATGGATCAAAAAGGGGTCGTCCTTTCAGACCAAGAAAGTCTAGGGATCGTTTCGCCTTCAGCTCGTATCGTACATGAAGAGACCCTCAAACTTTCGTCAAACAGCCGTCAAAGAGGGGGATGAGAAGAGAATCGTCGAAAAGCCCTTCGTCCCCTTGATCCGTTGAGTCCCGATCCGTTCCGTTTATTTCCCAGAGCTGCGATGGTTTTTTGCGTCGATCGTTTTGGTCGTGAGGGTTGGTGTGTGTGTGTGTGTGTGTGTGTGTGTTGATGTGTATTATAGTACAATAGGTTGTTACATCCAAAGAGGAGTTCGGGCGCAGGTCTGGTATAATCGTCGCCGGCGTGTAGTGAGAACTCGTTTGGTGGTAGTGTTGGTGGTCGTTGGTCGGGAACCCCCCATCGGCAGGGCATGACGGGGCTTCTCACAAGCTCGCGCTAGCCTTGCTGGAGGCGCCAAAGAGGCGTAGTATACCCTCGTACATGCCAAACATGATGGCCGCGCTGGGGACGGTGCGCATCAGGTGCGGCGTAAGACCGCCGTACAGGCCCATGAAGCCCTCCTCGATCCAGACGACGCGGAAGCACTGCCAGAGGCCAGTGTACTTGAGCTGTCCGTTGGCCAGGGGCGCCTGTCGTAGTCTCGTTCGCGCAACCTAGTAGGTAGTGTCAGTGAGTATGTTATAAGTGGCCCGATGACGAAAAGCCATCATCGGAGAGAGAGTATCGTGTAAATCATACCTCGTGAGGGTAAGCAAGAATGGCAGCAACCAGCTTGGCACCGCCAGCAGCACCAGCATTCCCCATCCAATCCACCGTTTGGTCCCAAAACGTCTTCTCCCTCCCGCTCGCGACGATGCGCTCCTCGCGCGCCGCCAGCCTGTTCTTGAGGTTCTCGTACAGCACCCACTGCAGCGTGCTCTCCGCCACGCCCAGGTAACTCGCGCTCATGCCCTTGTACATGCCCCGGACGCCCTCGGTCCGCAGCACCTGCTTGATGCAGTCCCAGCTGTTGCGGTACTGCCTCTGCTGCACGCCGCCGCTCTTCTCCGCCACGTTCTTGTCGAGCTGCAGGCGGGTCTTTACGAGCCAGATGGGGTTCGTCGCCGTGCTCGTCGTCACGCCGGCCAGCACGCCCGCTGCGAGGTGGACGCCCGCCCCTTCCTCGCCGCCGTTGACATATTCTGCAATGAGGCGCTTGCCGTTGCCGTAGGTGTAAAAGTTTATGCTCCTCGCGGGGATGACGCCAATGAGATTCGGTCCGAGGCCCTTGAAGAGCGCGCGGGGACCCTCAATCTTGTAGACGGAGCCCAGGATCTGGAAGGTCTCGCGGAGGTGGAAAAGGGCGGCGCGGTAGGGGGAGAGGGTGCCTACAGCCTGAGCGCGAGCGGCGTGGGAGGCGCGGAGCTGGGCTTGATAAAAGTCGGATTGGAGGCGGGTTTTGAGGACGTCGAGTGGTGCTGTGAGTGTTGCGGCCGTCATACCTCCGACTCTGTAAGGGTTGAAGAAGTCTTGTTAGCTTTCTCTTGTGGCGCGGCCCCCTCACGCAAAATTTCTTTCCTATCCCAAGAACCCCCTTTCAACCGTTTTGTCCAACGAAAAGGGAATGGACGGAGCATAACGAGGGAAGAGAAGAACAGATATGCTTCAGACGTACCCTCCAGCAACGAAATGTACCCATGACTTTGCGAATGGTGATTCCTTCTCGCCCCCCACAGCCGGGTTCTGTTTTGTGTCGGGGATGATATCACCCGTCTCGCGGGACGTCGGGTACGAAGTTGTATCCGGGGCGCGGCGCGCAGCCGGCCGGTCGCCTCTTGCAGACATGAATTCGGCGGATGCGGGAGCGTGAGCCATTCAGGCGGTAGAGAGGAGGAAGAAAGTGTGTGGCGATTCGGGGGGAAAAGGCGATTCCAGTTGCTGTAGCAGGATAGCTTCGGCTAGTAGGAAGACGAAGAGTCGATTATAAGATGTAAGAGGAATTCAGTATTCTATGTGGCGAGCCTCGGATAATGGGAGGTTAAAGAAAGTGGTGGCGGTTGTTGATATCGAAGGAGGCACCGTTACGTCGATATCATGTCGCGGGAGGTTAGGTTGGATGCGAGGGAACGGCTCGTCCTTGATGACGGGACGGGAATCTAAGGTAGGATAGGAGCTGGGCAACTTTTTTTTCTTATCCCCGTCCACCATTTGCTTTAGCGTGCTGAGATACGGATGGAACGACGCGCCACGCTCAGATTTCAATCTGTGCGGCCCACTTTACCCGGCGTGCCGGCTGTCACCACTGTGAAAGTGTGGCCCCTGCTTCATGTGGCTTTCCAGTCGCTGTCATTCGTCAAAGTAACTGCCCCCTGCTACCTTACCTTCCCTCGTCTTACGGCTTGAGGTACAATGCTTACCTAACGTGTTGAGACTCAAACACCACCACGCACATGGAAGTGTAAGCCATTTGGACGTCACCACCGAGTAATTGGATACAGCACTGTAGTGAGCTTACTGTATATCATTATGAATTTATCTGATTTTTTGCTTTTGTTTCCTTGGTTCGCATCCCGCAATGCACTCGCACATACGCACTATACGCACTACACACATTGCGCACACAGACACACACTCGGTACGCTCTTTTCGAATCCTGTTTGCCCCATCCTATCCCTCTGAATAAGAGCATGGTGTTGTTGCTAGGGCGGCCTGTTCCATGTTCCACGGAGAAGACAAGTCATCTGCCGCAAATGGTGTCCTTTCCTAGCTCATCGTCCAACCATGCTGCTCGCCGGGGTCGAGGTAGCATCCCGCGCATCAGCGGCCGCAGTCGCAGCCGACGCCATGTGGCTGAGCAGCATATGATCGTTCTTCAGACTGGGCAGTTGGTTCTGATGCTGCTGCTCTCCGCGGTGCGGGTGCGGCTCCGGCATCCAGGGCTTGTGATTCATCGGCGGGGGTGGTTCCTGCTCTACGTCCATGAAGCTACTCGTCCTGCTTCGAGATCCAGGGTCTAACGGCGACCGCTGGCGATGGTCCGGCTGGCCCCTGCTAGCCGGCCGAGATACGTCTCCTCCTCCCGGCATAAGATTGGCGGAAGACGACGTAGGCGGCTGAGGCTGCGGCGGCGGCTCGTGGGTTCGGCCGTCGTCCTGTGTTGGATCATATCGTAGAGTCCTCACCGGTGCCGGCTGAACCGGGCTCGGTTCCACGTGCGGCGCTTCGTCGGCACTGCTGCTGGCCTCGCGGTTGAGCCAGACAATCTCTTCCTCGGTAATCGTTTTCCACCCGCACTTGGCGTGCTTCTTCGTGCAGCCCTGACAAGCCGTCAGGTGCTTGATGCACGGCGACTTGAGCCTGCGGCAGCGGTCGCACGGCGGCCAAATCTGGTCTCCCTTGTTCAACTTTTCTATCCTTGCGGTGATGATGGCCCGGTGCGGCGACGACGGGTCATACGACGGATCTCTCTGTGGCATGACCGGTGGCGCATGCACGACAACTGGACGTCCCTGCAAGGGTAGTGAGTGCGGATGAGGATTCGTCGCGGGCGGCGTGTGTTGGCCCGTCGAATGGGCCTGCTCGAGGCCGGCGCTGGAGGGCACTCGAGGGGGGTAGGCTTGGGAAGATGACAGGAACTGCTGGAGCAGGTCTGCATGAAGGTCGTAACCAGCTCCGTGGGCAACGTGGCCTCTGGAGTGGTTGACGGACTGAAAGGCCGAGCTGCTTCCTTGCTGTCCGCCATGACGTGAGTTGATTCCGGCTCTGCGGCCGCTCAAGTGGTAGTTGAGCTGTCGTGCCCTCTTGGCGATCTCATCGGCTTTCTTGATGAGAACCTGTAGTCGCTGCTCCACAATTTCCAGTGTCGCGACTTCGGCCGTCTCATCCTCTTCCAGGGGAGCCGTGGACACCACGGAGAACCTGTCCAAGGCACCGTTGATAATGAGCCGCCAGTCATCTTCAAGAATCTGCGTCTGGATGCCGTTCAGGTAGAACTGACACGTGCGCTCGCCGTCGTGTCCGGTGGTGAGAACAAATTTCTCAGGATTTGTCTTGGCAAAGGTGACAATATCGAGCCAGCTCACGGGTGCCGCGCCGTATGGAGGCGGTGGGTTGGTAATGATGGGACCTTCAAAAGCTCCCTCCATAGCTTTCAGCAGACGGGGCCCGGTGAGCTTGGCGCCCAAGTTTGCCGCGAGACTCTCATGTCTATTGAGGACTCCTATTGTTGACCGTTGAGAATGATATTCCATAATACCCCACAGACAAGAGGAAAGGGGAAAACCGTACCTTCGTACTGATTTAATAAACCAAGCACATCCGAGAATGTGTCAGGCTCTCCCTGAATGAGCTGGAGTCTACCAGTACTGGCTTTGGATAGGTAGTTGATGATGGATGCATTGCCTTTTTGAGTTGACAATTAGTACTAGTTCATGGAACGAGATGAGATGCAGCGCAAGCGGGTATGGCCTATGGGGCAAGATTCCATGCCACAGGTCAATTAAGCATTGCCAAGGGGCTTGGAACAAGCGCGATGCAGATGGAGAGAGAAAGCCTGGGCTGGAGAAGAGACGAAGATGGAGACGGGAGGGATGAAGTTTGGGGAAACAATGAAGAGGTAGAAAACAAGGTGCGGGCGGCGCTGGCAGGCAGGCCGGGGCGAGGGATCAATGGCGAGTCTAACCTCGATTGCCTCCGGGCGCGACGACGACAACGACGAGATGCAGCTGAAGGCTGAGATCGACGGCTCATAGTCCTTCAGCGCATCGCGACATGCTTGCTCTCTTGCTCTCTTTTTTGGATTTTGGTTTTCTTGCTGGAGACTTCGACTCTTGGATCACACACACACTGGCGCACCACACATACCTGACTGAGGCGGAGGAGGCTGGGGAATGCGATCAGAGTGAGCTGGCTGAGCGCCGCCGTCGTCTGCGTCCCGTTTCCGTTTATGGGGCTCTTGGGAATCCTGGGCATGCGCCATGGTGAAATTGTCACCGCGGGCAACAGACGGGAGGATCCCGCGAGAGCAAGTTGTCTTTTCTTCTTCTCTTTTTTCCACCCTTCCTCGTTGTGGCCCTTTGTTTCTTCCCTCTAGAGTAAGATCAACTGTAAAAACCAAAGGCCGGGTGCGTGTATGAGACGAATGGCGATTTGAGTGGAGTGGTGTAAAGTATGTGTGTGTGTGTGTGAGAAGGCCAAAGGGCCCCGGGGCGTAATAAGAGGGATCCTGAAATCTAGGAGTTGGTTAGTTCATGGCGGAGCAGCACCTTTTGAGGTGGTGGCAACCCAGCAGACAGGGCTCCAGTGAAGTGAGGAGGGAATGCCTCAGGTAACAGAACAGATGAGAGTTGGAGGGGCCTGGGATGGAGCAAGCAAGCTTTCGAACGAAAGAGGGACGAGAGATTTTGTTGATCGAAGGGGGGAGGAGTGAATGAGGCCGGAGAGCCAAGAAAAGACGGGGGGAGAGGAGGAGGGTTGGAATCGGGGTTTCGTTCAGGATTTGTACGGGGGGAAACGGGGGACGTGGTCGGGGCCACAGGACGGGGGCTGGCTGGGAACTGGGGCGGAACTCGGGAGGAGGAGTAAGGCAAGGTACTTGTAGGAAATAGGCGTAAGGTAGAGTACCTTAAGGTAGGAGAGAGGCAAAGTAAGGTAGGGCGAGACAAGGGAACTTGGGGTACCTTAACGTAACGTAAGGTAGGCAAAGTACTTACAAGCACAAGCAGGTGGAGGGCCGATGTGCAGTTGAATGGGATGAAAAGAGAAAGAAATCACTCAAGCAAGTGTGTGCTCGCGCCGTGGGCGTGAGAGAGAATAAGAAGACATGTAGAGTAAGGCAGGGTTGGTGGGTTGGTAGGTAAGTGAAAGTGATGGAGATGGGACGGACTGCTTGGAGGACGGGACGGGGAGAGAGGAGGAGAGAAGTGGGAAAGAAGAGCGGACGGCGGGTGCAGCTGCAGAGGCGAGTTTACGGGCCAATTGCCCAATGACAGGGGCAAGCGGGTGCCGAGTTCCCACCGCAAAGCCGCAAAGTCCCAAATTGGTTATGTCGTGTGTCGGTATGAAAGTGAGGTGAGTGAAATAGAGAGAGTGAGAAAGAGTACCGTACCTATGGATGTGAGACCCGGGATGAGCCTTTAGGAACTAGGAGAGACACGACGGAACGGGAGTGTTGAAGAGTGGGTTCCCTTTTTTTCGCGACGGGGGGGAGAGGGGCGGCGGCACCCGTATGAGTCGGGCGGGCGAGTATGTGTGTGTATGAGAGTACCCAAGTCAATGAGTGAGAGTGAGATTGAGAGAGAGACAGAGAGGGCGAGAGGCGGGTTAAGATGCTAGTGTGAAGCAAGTGAGCGGTAAGGCAGCCCAGCGCGAGGCGAGGTGTGTGGAAGTGTGGAAGGAAGGTATGGTATGTGAGTGTGAGTGTGAGTGTGAGTGTGTGTGACGGTGGACGGCTGGGAAAATGCAGTGCAGGACCGCAATGGAAAGCAAAGATGTGGTGCAGCAAGGGCGGAGGGGAGTTCCACTAAACGGATGGGGCCGGGGGTGGGAGAGGGGACCCGGCGTCCTTCTTTTTTCGTTCGTCGGGAAGGGAGGGAGCCTAAAAAGCTTGGACTGACGGAACCCGAGGACACCTCAGTTTTCCCAAGTACGGAGAGTCTAAAAGGGACTGGACTCAGTATGGAGTACTGTGGAAGGTACGCAGTACAGATAGAGAGGATGAGTGAGTGAGTGGATGGATAAGTGAGAGAAAGGCAAGGCAAGGCAAGGCAAGGAAGGAGGGCCAGGGCAGGGTCCCCCTTTTGGGTGTAAAGTGTGAGGTGTGAGGTGTGAGGCGTGAGGCGTGAGGCGTGAGGCATGAGGCACGAGGCGTGTGTAAGTGAGATTGAGATGAGGAGGATTGGTGGAACTTAAGCGGGAAGCAGCGCAGAGCCAACGGCTGCCGGGAAGTAGGCAGGAAGCTACAGCAGCTCCTAGCGTGGCATCAAAGGTGCAAGACAGGATGAGGTGGGCAGGCGATGGATCAATCGAGAGATACCCGACTAAAATCCGAACTGTGTATTCCGTAAAAAGGGCTGTGGTTACCTTGAGACAGGTGAGATAGAGTGAGTTGAGGTTACCTGAAAGAAACGCCAAGCCAAGGCAGCGGAATGTGATGATGATGAGTATATGGACTAGGGTGCGCGCCGGCGCCAGCTCTCAGAAACGCAGCCCGCCCCGGCTCCCCAAACACACGAAAAGCCCCAAAAGAGCAACAAAATCGACAACCAAGCAATTCTGGTGGGGACCACACCAACGGGCTGGTTTGGACTGGACTGGACCCGGGGCTGTGTGCAGAGACAGGCCGTCTGTCTCTGTCCGTCTCTGTCCGTTGAAGAAGAAGCAGCAGCAGAAGCTATCCTGTGTGCCTGTGCTTGTGCAGTCTCCGCGGCTCAGAATTTCAGCCCATGTAAGACGGCGTAATAGGGAGAGTCCCCAGCGATGCGGTTTTTTCTTGGTGAGTCCTTTTTCAATTTTTTCTTCTTCCTTCTCCCCGCCGTTCTTTAATTGCCTCTTGAGTTCCTTGGTACTTGACCCGTCGATAAACGCAGCTTGTCCTATACGAGCAAAGTGGGAAATTTCAAAACGGATGACGGCGAACTGTGTACGGGGGTGGCGCTGGGACCCGGCGCAGAGATGTCGTATAAAGCAATTGAGCGACTAATATGAGGTAAGATTGAACAAAAAAGCAGGCCGTTTCCCGCTTGTCGTCGGTATCCTTATGTAAGACTGGCAGCCCTATGAAGACTTGGAAGCTGAACAGTCCGGCTCTGGGAGCCGAACGTGTCGGGTTCGGGGAGAATGATAACCAAGCTAAGAAGCAAATAATGCGCCCAAGGGGTCGGCAAAGCGGCAAGGTTTGATTTGCAAAATTTAAGCAAAAAAAAGGGGACCTGTCTTTTAAGACCGAGGTGCCTATCGTCGGCCCGCGACATAGAGTTAGAAGAACTTCTCGATGCCGGGAGATGGTCGATGCAGGATATTGGACGCCGAACACAATTAATACGAGCGGGGAACAAGCTGTCTGCTTCTCTCGATCAAGGCCCATGGTCTTTGGGCCCCAAAGAGCCGGCTCCAGCCTGGTGCAGTGCACAGCCTGGAAACTGGGGAAATGGAGGAGCCAACCGGCCAGTCGGCTTTGAGTGTTTAGAGAGGAGAGGAGTAGCGGGCGGGAACAAGGGGGGCACCATCTGTGTGAGACTGGTGAGTCTGCGACTGTGAGAGACTCAAGACTACTGTAGAGTGATTGATGAATGACAAAGTGAGTTGTCCAAGGAGGAATGGATGGAGTGCTGGATGGATGGATGGACATGCGACTAACAAGCTTGAGACACCGCGCTGAACATGAGACTCGGTCGGAAATATGGGCTGCCGGGTGGGAATCTCGGAGGGAGGAGCGCACCGTAGATCCTCACCTGCCCAACTACCTTGCCGGGACACCGAGAGGAAGGTACGTTCCATTACTGTACCTCTCACTTCTCTAAGAATACCACTGAATCCTGACAGAGACACCCTACCTACCTACCTACTCCGTACAGAAAAGGACCAGAAACGAGGACGACAAGAAACAAGACACAGAAACGAGACAAGAAGAGGCACGCCGCACCACTGACAATCACCACCGCCCCTTTCTTTTCCGTTGCATCGCATCTGTGATCTGACCCTGACCTCGTGCCTAGTATCCAATACTTCCCGCCCCCGGCGAACCGGCACGTCTCGTTAAAACATCCCATCTTTCTGAATTGCCGTCTTACCCTGGTGTGTCCCGACTTACATCGCGCGACGTGACGGCCACGGCGCACGCACATCATACAGCACTTGACAGCCAGACGACAAGCGAGTCGCTACCTTGCCTAGGGGAACAAGCCTGCCATAGTTCGACGGCGGACGGGGTGGAGGGGCGGAGCAAGGCTCTCTTAGTCCTTAGCAAGGTACGACGTTACCAAAGACGAACTAGACAGAGGGAACCCGCGCGCCCGCTGGTCGAGTTGCGCGCCCGGGGCCATGGCACCGCGGGCGTGCCCCCTCTACCCGTACGCGGTATGCAGTACCTGGCACAGGTAGGCGGCCCATCCTTAGATGGAACCTTTCTAGAAAGACAGTGCTAATGCTGAACAGAAATCCAGACAAGGGACGACGGTGGGTGGGATAGAGAGGAAACACGGAGACCCGACAATTGGGAAGCTTTGATCCCTTTCGGACGGAGCGGAACGCGAGGAACGCAATGCCTACTCGAGAAACCTACGCCATTGCCGCTCTGTACACCATGGGAAAAGGTACCGACGTTGACCAAGACTTGAGGTCGGGGACCCAAAGTATCGCCAATCTATGAACTCCCTTCATCCTCACCACCCAGGATGCCTGTCCAACAAGCCAACCCCGTCTTGTTTCGGGGCGACTCAAGCGGACCCTCAGCATCACAGAAACATGACTTTCGCACCCCGCTCGAGTATGTACTCGAGTACCTACCTACATACCTTGCATGCCTCTGGAGTCCTGGACTAGGTGCGAATATGCATCTTGCGCCGGCCGGCACTCGGGGGCCCGCGCAAACCAACTCTAAAAGGCCAATGAGTGAGATCATCGTCAACCGCAGTCTCATCTGCCCACAACGCTTCTAATTATGTCTAATCGCACATGGCATGGTTGATCGCCTCCCTCACCCTCAAACATCACTTCACGTCGTTATAAAACCAAACCAGGCCAAACGTTTCCCGACTTAGCAGCCCCCATCCCTCCCATGTGGCATGAACCACTTACCGTGTTGCCCCCTCCTTCCCACGCGACGCACGTGCAGAAATTCCAGGGACGGACGACCAGCTGGGATGTAACTCGCTCCGACACTGATGGGCAAAACAACTACCTTATTTTTGGGCCTGTCAATGTTTTGGAATGAAATCGAGCAGCAGTTGCCACTGGCCAGCGGCCCCTCCGCTCGCTCGCTTTCGCTGATCGGTTTGGTTTCCCTTTCGCCCTTGGAGAGTGGGAAAGGGGGGCACACCTTGAATGTCACACACACTTTGCTATACGGATACAACACTCCTCTCAAGTTGGTTGGGTTGATATGGAAGCGTTCCTCGCAGCCCGTTAACTCCGAGATTTTCTCACTTTGATTTTGCTTAACTTGTGTTTACATCACAGGGACTTTGCAGGGAGATAGAGTGGTCAGAAGTGCTGACTAGGCTTCGTAACCACGGTACGTGGCCCCTCCAGTCTGCAAGAGAAGGCCGGCCAAATGTCCGGACAAGGAGGACGAATGAGATAGTAGAGGCGCAATCTCAACAACCTCGGGAATTCGCCAGATCAACTCTGGACTCCCCGATGCCCACTTTATGGCACTGACCTAAAGGTCTAATGTAGCGGCGTAATGATGCGTTGTTTCCCGCTTTTTGGGTGGTGCTCTTGGTGCCCATCAATATCATCGGGGGTGGCGCAGAGGGCAGTGCCAAGACATTTTGGAAATCACCAACGGAACACGCGCCAGGATTACTTCTCTTACAGGAACTAACACCACTCACGCGAGCCAGTATGATGTATATCGCTCACCTACACAGTACGTTTCCCAGCCTCCCAACCCCGGTCCGATAATTCCATCTCCTTCCCCGGCTTCGTCAAATCAGTCAAGAAGGAAAGAAGAAGCTGCACAGCCTAGCTTACCGGTTCCGTGAGCCTTGGTATACAGAGTACCGCGGTTTACACATCATAGTGTGTCGTCACTTACACGGGGCGAGCTAGCCCATAGTCGTATTTCAACGACGACGCGCTCTGGCTTCATCATCGCCAAGACGTTTTGGCTTGACCGTTGCGCGTCGTTGCTGCAAAGTCAACGGTCTTCACGCCGATCCCAGAAGGAAGCAAAAATCCGAAATTAGATTTTCTGTTTCTTCACTGGCTCATGGTGATGGTTATTGGAACTTTTTTTTGTTGCGGTGCCAATATGCGAATAGGCAGCAGTATTTCCTCCCCGTTACCGAAACTTTATTTTCTCGGTAACACGGCTATGTGGCCTTAGTCGAACGATCGATATTTATTCTTTGTCATTACGGAGTATCTGGGACTCGATATGTCTCTTTCACCACTCCGTACGGATACTGAATTGACTGGCATTTGGTGATGTCCTTTATGTTGTCTAGCGACGGCAAGACAAGCTTTCCGCACAAAAAGCCTTCCTCGGCTACTTGCTCATTGCTAAGAAAGTGTTGGTGAACGGTAAGGAAGTTGCGTCGCGTGATCAAAAACAAGAGACCCCGAATCGGCGAACAATTAAAATAAAGTATTTCATGAACCGAGAAAACAGTGGCTATGCGCAATATTGAAGCAATGGTATCACGCGGACTGCCATGCCAGGCTGCCTTATTTTTGCCATGTGAGAACCTTTTGAAACATCGGATCTGTACACTTGTATGTTGAAATCCCGAAGCTACGAAGAAATCATCAATTCCATCCTTGGCGATATACAGTCACTATTCGCAAGTTCTTGGGGTTCCCTCTTGGTATGGTAAACTCGGTGATGGACCCGTACCTCAACTATTCCCGTCCCGTCCTCCAGGTTTCGATTGAACGAAAAGCCCGCGCCCCGCCAATCACGGAGCCCGGGCCTCTGAACGGCGGGGAGGGGCGAAGGGGAAAGGACGCAGACCAGAACCCGCCCCACCATGGAAGAAGCCCGGACCAAGCTCAAGCTCATTTTCCCACCGAACCTCACCCTAGCCTTCTCGGCCAAACATCCCAGCCGCCAAAAAACACACCCACGATCTCTCAACGACGTCACCCCGCGACAAAGCGAAAATCCGTAACCAAATAGTGAGAGACATTTTCGAATTGGTAACCAGGCCCCGATAACGGACCTCCAAAGCAAGACCATAGGACCTAAGCCACTCCTACAAATAAACAAACAAACAAACGCCACGACACAGCAGGACACAACTCAGCGGCGCAATGGCGGATAGAGGCTCACACAGAGGCGGCGGCCGAGGCGGAGGCGGAGGAGGAGGAAACTACCGCGGCGGAAGGGGAGGAGGTCGCGGCGGCGGCGGCGGCGGCGACCGAGGCGGAGCCCAGGGCTCGGGCGGCGATCGCGAGAGGCCCAAGAAGGAGAATATCCTCGACTTGTCAAAGTATATGGACAAGCAGATTACTGTCAAGTTCAACGGCGGGCGCGAAGGTGCGTTGTATTTTGTCCCCCTTTTCCTTTTCCCTTTTCCTTCTCACCCCCCTCCCATGATTCTTGCGAAGGGGGAGGAGGGGCTGTGTGTGTGGGAATCATGCATGTATCGATTGCTAACTTTAGAAAACCACAGTCACTGGAACGTTGAAGGGATACGATGCGCTGATGAACCTGGTGCTGGACGAGGTCCAGGAAGTCATGAGAGGTACGTGTGTCTCTACCTTTGCCTTTGCCCCATCCTTGGCGTAAACCAGAAAGGGGGCCGGGGGGGGGGGGGAGCTTTCAATATGGCTTCGCGGCTAACAAGAAACAAACAACTCAACAGACGAAGAAGGAAACGAAACGACCAGGTCCCTAGGCCTCATCGTTGCCCGCGGAACCCTCCTCGTCCTCGTCAGCCCCGTCGACGGAAGCGAGCCCATAGCGAACCCGTTTGCGCAGCCCGAGGAGGAGTGAATAAACCCGAGAAAGCAGGAGAGGGGAGGGGGGAGTCAGGGGGCTGAATTCGACTTGATATCCCAACTGTGTGTGTGAGGCAGAAAAGGAAGGCAAGGGAAGTGGGGACCCATCCAGCGACACTCATCGATAAGGCATGATTTAATGTGCCTGCGAGATGGGATGCGACTTGTGGCTGGACGTCTGGGTAAACGCGAGACGGTAATGTAGCTTGTGTGTCGTAGGCATGCAGCATACATCAGCATGAGGACATGAATATGACGATGGCATATCAAAAAGATCCACCAGATAGAAAGACCAACGAAAAAGAAAAAGGGGGGGGGGGGGGGGGGGAAGGTATGGCACAAATATCATGGCGGGAAGAGCAGCATGAGTGAGGGCCTTTGCGGTCCTCCCGGCCTCACCTCCTCGTGCACGACAAACATGAATGAAAAAAAGATTTATTTCGTTACTGTTCTTTACCCGCATTCGTACTCTCCCATCTAACTGCATCTCCCCACAGTCAGCGAGACCGCTCACTCCCCTTTCTCTATTCCTTCTCCGCTCAATCCGAAGGCTCCTATACGCTCCTCTTATACGTTCAAACCTGGCAAGCAAGCGAGTGAACACATTGCGTCCACTTGTCGTCTCACGCGCCGTTCCCACCGTTCGTTCATCCTTGGTCCAACGTCTCAAAACCAACGCTATGTCAGTCATCACACTCCGTAGTGGTTTCTCGCATCATTCGAAACGCAGCCCCGTGCATTGCAATCCAAGTACGTCGAAGCCTCGTTCCCCATCCTTTCGTGACCGTGATCTCGATCCTTGTCGTAACCGTGGCAATCCCAACCCTCCCCGTTCTAGTGAGAGGTGCCCTGGAACCCTCGGCTCGACGTCTGTTTCCCTGCCTTGAGAAGCTCCCCAAACGCATTGCCGAGCTGTTTCTTCAGCTCCTTATAGCTGACGACAAAGCTCGTCTGCTCGTCTCGACTCGTGAGGCAGATTCGGTCGTCGCTACCGGCGTCCAGCCTGTTGAGGCATCGGATAATGTGGCCCATGTCTACTACGGGATTTCCGTTCGCGTCGACTTGGTGGAATACGTAGTCCCGGAATAGTTTGAGCATGTATCGCTCGCCGTTTTCTGACCAGTTCCTGTCGCCGTCGAATTCCTGCCGTTCGTTGACGGCACCAAGCTTGGCCATGAGGCGCACTATGCGGCCGTTTTCTAGTTCGCGGAACAGGTCCGACTTGAGGGCGTCCGCTTCCTGTAAACTGGCATCTAGCGTGGCAACCATATGGACTGCGATGCCCCGGACAAATTCTTCTATACCCTTGGGCGTGGCACCAACCTGAGAGGGAGTCAGAAGCCACAAGACAGTATCCGTGATTTCTTTCGAGTAAACCCTGCTCATCTGTTCCATCGACCCTTTGAGGTTCGTGAGCTGGTTCGGCGGCGTGTTAGTAGCTAGTGATAAAATGAGTTTCCCGAATTGAATCAAGTCCTCTTGTTGCAGCTCCTGAACGGGCCGACGGTTGTCGAACTGAACGACATCCAAAATGGAGCAGGCACTCAGCCGGATGCGATTCTTGTCCGTCACAATGACCTTGCTCATATCAAGGCATCTGGCAGCCAGATTCAATGTGTGGATAGCCTTCAAGGCATTGGCTATCTGGGAAATATAGCCCCATAGCACGCTTTCGGTTATGGGGTTCTTTGCGCTGAAGCGGGTGCCGTGGGTGGAAGCCGGTTGAGAAAAGTGAAGTTCGGCAAGTGTCTTGGAGAGGGGATGGTAGTCTTGTACGAAGAACAGGGAACTGTCGCCAAATGCTCTCGTGGTGAAGGCGTCATGTATTCCCACCACATTGCCGTTGTTGAGCCTTCGCCACTCCTTGACAGAGCGAATAGCTTGCTCGTTGGTTAGTCGGTACCCTGTTCTGCGTTAGTAATGTCGAGGATAGGCATTGCCAGAGAGCATACCCTCAAGCCGTCTGAGGCAGTATGTTTTGCCGTTCTTCGAGGATGTAGCCTTGTACACCCATGTGGTGTAGCCAAAGACACTGGAACTCTTCCGATGACTGGTATCAAGGGGAACGAGGGAGTAGTAGTTGTCTAACGGAGGTAGTGTCGAGTCTTCAACAGCATTAGAAATCTATAGTACCTGTTGTTCACTGTGCAGCTTACTTGGCATGACCTGCTGCAAGGCCTCGGACTTGCGTTGCATCTCCTCGCGCATCTTCTCAGGTAAGAAGAAGTCGTGAATTTGCCTTTGGAACGGCATCAAATCATCTCGATACGGCCCAACCGGTGCGTACAGATGGTATTGAAGCTGCCGGACGTCAGTTTTGCCATGGAAAAATATCTAGTTCGCGTCCTCTCACCGGTTGAAGCGGGGCTGTGTAAGCATTTTGATGTTGGAAGTAGGCCCCTGAGCCAGCGAGTCCGGTAGGATCATCGGCATAAGGGTTGAAAGGTGTGGCCGGTAATGGCTGGGCAACATTGGGCATAGCAAAGGGGTCAAATGAGAGCCCTGTGTCGGAAGCTGAGCCATTGGCAGTAATCTTTTTCGATGTTAGTCTCAAATAAGCTGTTAGGCATGGTCATCCATACGCCAGTACTCAACTCAAAGTTTGATGGAGTAAATTCTCGAAATGTAGCAGGGTTAAATACTGTCGACGCCGCTTCTCCATCTGGAGCGGCGGCTGGCGTCGCAGCTGTGAAGAAATTAGATGAGATAGTCCGTGATACAACATGGCTCAAAACGTACAGCCTGCTCCTCTGGGAGTAAAAACGGCTGCACTCGCAGCCTGGGAGGAAAATGTCGATTTCTTGGAGCCCGCTATCGTATTTGCACTCGGTGATGCCACCGAGGGCAGACCGGCGGGTGTGAATGAAGGCGAGTCGACATTGAGGGCCTTTCTCGCGCTATTAAAACCCAACTGTTAGCTTTCTACTATCATTGTTTGTCGTTAGGTTTGATTATTTCCCGTCATAGTCAATGCTCGCTCTACAAGTTAGTGGTCTACACCTCATCCTCCATGGCGCTATCCAAATTTCATTCACATTTCTTCGGCCACAGCTTTAGTCCACATCGACCATAGGGTGACCAGTCCGGGATCCACGGACATCTTGCTGCATATCGCGATGTATGCCAAAGCCGATCGGCGGGACTTCATCCAGGACTGCGATTCCAAGATCCACCTCCTCCTTCTATGCGAAGTAGGCCTCAATGTCGAGAACTTTAGTCCGCAACAAAGCTCGTCAGGCACATGTATCGCCAGAGTCTAGCACCGCTGCTGATCCTATGCCAAGGCCTCTACAATCGAGGCGCCTCCTTTTCCTCTAGTAGAGGAGCATCAGGTCTCGATAGCAAACGTCAATAGTTCTCGAGCATTTCGGACGGTTCTTTGGGCCATGGAAGTCGGTCACGATAGCGAAGCGGATCTGGACTGTGACCTACAAATCAGATTGGTTGCTCTGTCCTCCGGGACTATTCTGGACCGAGTTGGAACGATTCTGGTCGTGGTTGAAGGCGCAACCGGTGTTCTCGTATCGACAGTGTCCGTATATCATTACGTTTCGGCATAAGGTCTCTTTGTTTTCTAAGCCAATTGACAAGGCGTCAGCAATCCTGTGACAGCAACGTGGTCGGAAGGGCATCATGCGCGTTGACTCGCCTCGGATTTTGGGTTTCGGCGACCCAACTTGTCGACGGAGGTCGGACTGGGGGTATCGCGAGGTGGCCATGATCAGTAGTTTCGGTGGAAGAAAGTTTGGCCCCCTTGGTCGACGTTACGACGTCTGCACAGAGTCAGCCAAATCCAAAGCCCATGATCGAGTTGTCGTCGAGGTCGTTTTCATGGTATGGACGCGCGCGCGCTGGGTGTGGACGGGGGGGAATTCAGGACTTGGGCTGTCTGAGCGGGGTGGAGAGAAGACAAAGGCGGGCAGAGAAGAAGGACTGGAGCTCGCGTGGGGCCTGGCGCGAAGCCAGACTGGGGGCAGAGGACATTTTTGGGCAGACGCACTTGATCCTTGCAGACATTTGCCATGGCTCGAACACGTTTGGTGGGGTAGGTGTCTCGATCATGGACACGATGCCGTGCACCAGGCGAGGGTCGAGGTTGACGGCAGATGAATTTGGCGGATGATGCAAGGCAACGGAATGAAGTCGGAATAAGGTCGTGTCGAGATAGTACCTTAGGTAAGGCAAGGTAGAAGTAAAGCACCGATGCGCGCACCGTATCTTTTCTTGGAAGGATGCGTACGGATATGCAGCCCAGCGCAGGAAAGGCGGGAGGGACCAGGAAGGACAGAGGGAAAAACAGGGACCAGCGACAACGGCGCGACGGGCGGCGGAGCAGTCCAGTGAGGTAGGCGGTTTATGTGGGTGGGAAGACAGAGAGGTCAGATTTGCTACCGCGCGGCCAGGGAATACCCAAACCTACACAGGAGCGGGAGTTGGCGGTGCGAGCGGAGGTTAGGCGTGGTGGGATTGGAACCAACCAAGTCAAACCAACTTACAGCGTAGGTTGTGTCCAGTAGGTACTGAGAGGGGGGACAGTGACACACCCTCGCGACATGAAAATCGCTTAAAGTCAATGCTCTCGCACTATTAATCAACATTCGTGGGTAAACGTGCTGGATTTGGCCGTGAAAGTATGTCATTTCCACAATATCCGAGCGATAATAACATCTAGGTCGAAGCGGCCTTCACTTGGTGCATAATGAGGTGGATGTAACTCTCACACGACTCAGCTCATATACATTGCATGAATACTGGCTTGCTGTTACCCAGCCTCGTGAATATCGATACTTGATGTGGGAATGATAGCCGTATTGGCATTCATTTTCATCCCAGGTAGGTAGCAAGTCACGTCAATTAAGGATACAAGGCACATTATGGAAAACGCTATCCGTATCATCTATTAGATATCCTGATGATTTCTAAGAATTCTAGCACTTCCCTTGTAGTGTTTGTAGCTGAGGAAAGATCATGTAGGTGTCCACTCATCCTTCATATCGCAGCGGGGCTATGTACCTATCCGACACGTCTCCCCTCATCGGACAGATGCAATTGCCATGTGTCCAGATAAGCGATAAAACATACTCTTTATGGCGTCACGAACGCGATTCGTCGCGCAGACGCCAGCAGTAGGTACTCCGTACCGTACCTTACTTCATGTACCTTGCCAAGCCCTTGAACATCCGCACTCCGCCCACGGACAAGTGTCGTCACCGGGCAAGACACTCTCGACAATCAGCTGCGACTAGCGGACCATCTCAGACACCCGGTCATTTGCTACCAACGCATCCAGCCTCTCGTCAATGAGCTGCATCAAAGCCCAAAGCCGCTCCTTTGATTCTTGAACTTGTTCCTCTGTCCCTCCCACGCATCCAGCTGTATTATTTTTCTTATTTCACGGTCAAATAGCCGACCTTTGCCAATTTATCACGACTCTGGCAGGCTGCTGCAACTACCGCGGAAGGGTCCTTCTCCGCTGCCTTGCTTAGCCACGTTGCTCTTCGCTGTGACCAGCCCACTTCCGCCCTAGGCCTGACTCCTTTCACAACGTCAACCTGCGCATTCACCTATTTCCATGGACCACTGAATCTGCCTTTGGACTATACCCATCGTCGCTTCGACAGACTCGCCAATCTTAACTTGTGTGCAGCACCCAACGACAGCATGGCGGAGAGCGGAGACGTAGATTTGGGACAGCTGTCTGCAAGTCAGCAAGAGTCCCTCCAGCAATACACAAGTGTCACAAATCAGGAGCTCAAGGATGCGATACCGCTGTTGCAGCGATCGCAATGGAACGTCCAGGTAGACTTTCGCAACGCGGCACTGGCCAGCTTGTGAATTATACTGACCGACCTGGGTACAGATCGCCATCGCCAAGTTCTTCGACGGCGAAGGCCCTGATCCTGTCGCGGAGGCAATGGCACAGGACATCCACCGGACAGAAGCGCGGCACGAGAACCTTCAAGAGAGTCTGCTTGCCTCTGCAGCTCGTCCACCGGCTCCTCGGAGAGATCGACCCGACCCCGCGCCGCGAATCGTTCCTCAACCGAATACAGTCCACCGTCCACCATTCCTGATCGGGTTGCTCCTGGCACCCTTCAGCATCGGTTACAGCATCGCATCTAAGGTGTTTCGGACTGTCTTCTACCTGCTCAGTTTTCTTCCCCGACAGATCCGGCCACGGACCATCACGAGCGGGCCGGGGAATGGACTGCGGAGTACCAATGGGCGCCGGATGCTCATGCCCCGAGACACGGCCGCACGTTTCAAGCGTGAATTCGAGGAAGAATATGGAAGCACCGAATTGCCCTGGTTCGAGGGCGGTATTGCCCAGGCACAAGACCTGGCCAAGAAGGACCTCAAGTTCTTACTTGTTGTTCTCATGTCGCCCGAACACGACGATACCGAATCTTTCACGAGGGAAACTCTATTGAACCCGGATGTTGTCAGCTTCATCAATGACCCGGCGAACAATATTATCGTGTGGGGCGGCAACATCCTGGACTCTGAAGCGTACCAGGTCGCCCAGGAATACAACTGCACAAAGTACCCATTTTCGGCGATCATCTGCCTCACGCCCAAGGAAGGAAGCACTAGAATGAGCATCATCAAGCGGCTTGCTGGCCCGATGCCGGCTACTGCGTACCTTGCGGAAGCTCAGACCGCCATCAACAAATACGCACCAGATCTAGCAGGTGTCCGAGCCGAGAGGACAGCACAAGAGGTGGCACGCAGTCTGCGAACTGAGCAAGATACGGCCTACGAACGATCGTTGGCCAAGGACAGGGAGAGAGCGCGACAGCGGCGCGAGGCGGAAAAGGCCGCGGCAGAAGCTGCACGCAAAGCCGAGGAAGAAGCCGAAGCTGCAGCGAGGCGCGAGGAGCTTGGCGATAAGTGGAAGCGCTGGCGGGCGACGACTATGGAAGACGAGCCACCAGCCAGCAACAAGGATGTGGTACGGATTGCGCTGAAGATGCCCGAGTCGTCTGGGGCTGGAAGAATCGTGCGCCGGTTCCGCAACGACACAACGATGGAAACGCTATACGCTTTCGTGGAGTGTTACGATGTGTTGACGGCATCAGAGGAAGTGTCAGAGAAGGCGCCTGTCAAGCCCGAGGGCTACGAGCACGAGTATCAGTTCCGCATTGCATCTGTGATGCCCCGGGTGGTGTACGAACCCAGCAAGGAGGAAACGATGGGGCAGAAGATTGGGCGGTCAGGGAATCTGATCGTGGAGGAAGTGTCGGCCGACGGCGAGTCAGACTCCGGCGAAGAATACTCGTCGTAGATGGAGATGGTACGACCCAGGGCATCTGATCAAGCAAGTGTAGGATGGCGCAAGGCAGAGCAAGCATTAGTAGAAAACCGCGCCATTTTGTACGCGCAGTGAGCGGGCACCCAATAGCAACCATTCCAGACATTGTCGCGAGCATTGAAGAACGTTGTCAGCAAGTTGCAGGATACAATAGCTTCTAATCGCCTAAAGCTAGCCGCGGGAGCCGTCTGTCCATCTTGGGCAAGCCAAGGTAGCCCATCGGCACGAGGCCGTGAAGTTCACAAGAGGGTAATGACATTGGCGCGGGAGGCAACCTGATGATGTACATATCTCACCCCAGGTATCTGTAAGTGAATGCTAAAGAGGGGTTGATTTGCGTGGCCCCTTTTGTCTGGCGTCTTGGGAGTTCCCCACTAGACGACGGGAGGCCGAAGGGAAAAGTGTGTAATGTACACCGCACGCGATGTAGGTGGCAGGTCCCGTGGCGCTGTTTGGCCATACACGTACGTGTTGAGGATGTTGCTGCTTGCGTGGATGAGTGAGGCTGTGCAGACCAATACTTGGCTTGCCGGGCCGTGGGGTTTGGCAGTTGAAAGTTTGTGTAGCTCGGCTGCGAAGTGAAGAAGAGGGCTGATCATCATGGTCGGATTTTAATCGCGATGAAAAACAACAACATCAAGACAGGTTGTTTGTCTAGCTCGAGGTTTATGTTAATACGAGTTGCTGTATTGTTGAAGGAGCAGATTTGCCATCCGATCATGTGCGGGAGGAAGACCCTGAATTATGGCATGAACGTAGACTGGACCGTCGTACCCGCCTGCATACGTCAAAATGGGGGGATGTCTCTAGTCAATGCGACCCCCAATTTTTGACGTGGTCCTCTCCAAATAAAGTAGAACCCAAACCAAAAAGAAGGAGGATGAATAAACATTCCAGTAAAGCGTGATGGGTTGTGTAGATTTGAAGCACATGTGGCAGCTATGCTAAGAATGCTAAAGTCTTGAAAATTCGTCTCGGGTAAGGTAAGGTCCGAATAACCTGAGAAAGACACAGATGGATAGGATCTGATGAGGAGGATTACTCCCGTCTGGACGGATACAGAGGAGGAAAGACCCAAAACCAAAGTTTGGTGGTTTCGAGGTCCCCACCACCAACGAGCTGTGAGATACGTACTGGAGATCGGTGCAAGGTCTCCCCAGGCACTGCCGTCTTCTCTGGGGGCTCTGGGCCTCTGGCGCATCACTTTTTGCCATCCAAGTCGTCGTCATGCCTGCTCCAGAATCAACGCCGCGACACTTGTACCTGGTCTGAACAACTCGCCGCAGCAAAAGGGGCGACGAGCATACCTTCATCGGCCCAACGCAAATCGAGGGCCCTTTCCACCGCCTTTCGTTTCTTCTCGTCGTTCGCATACTTACCTTCATCCTGATCTGACATGATTCGCTC